ATTATTGATTTCTGGAGAATGTGGAAGCAACAGTGATTTAAGTACAGGAAAAGCACTCCAAATGAAAGCATCCTGCCTACAGATACTAAATCTTATCTATCGCAGAGACAGAAAATAAAACTTTCAACAAGGCCATAATTTCTGGAGCAGGAGGGTAGTCACAGAGGAATATTTTCAAGCACAATTGAGTTTGCAATTCTTACTAACTGCCTCTCCATTTGCAATGGCCCAGTGTGAAATTACAGCCAGTGTAAGAACCCCACTGCTTTAGCCCTGCTCCTGTCAAGGGACATCTATCCATCACCTCATTGTGCAACCTGTCCCATTTAAGATCTAGTAATGCCAAGGCCTCCTGCATTACTTGGATCCAGACCTACTAATGACAAGTGTAGCTCACATTGAGGAGGAAGCAGCCAAATAAAATCCCGTGTGAAACCAATCTCTCTCTGCTGCATTTCCAACAGGCCTCACCAACTCATAGTCTCAGGCAAGTATTGCAGTGCAGACTATCTGCTGACGTACCTTTATCTTTCTTCCTGCAGTTTGCAGTAAGCACAGAACAAGGAAGACTGAATATTTTGGATTGCATGAAACATTTTCCTTCACCAAAGCATGGGCTGTTTTGACAGTACCAGTAAAACAGGAAATCAGACCAGAATTGTTATTTACTACTGGTCTCCTAGCTAGTCAGGATGAATAAGCAGAGATGAATCATTCAGATAATAAAAGAAACTACTATTTAGCAAACAAAAATGTACTACAAAAAGACCCTCAAATCTCTCCAATTTAAGGATTTTAACAGGAATTTTTCCAAAGTTCTCAGTTCTGCACTAACAGCAAGCACAGCTATTTACAGGGATTTGCAGATCCACTGTTTTCCAAGGAGCCACGGAACCCTTGGGAATCAGCATGGGCCAGGCTCCCAGGCAGCAAGGTCAGCAGCAGAGAACGAAGGGCTGCTGGGGTGACGGCTGCACAACATCACAAAAACTTGTCTTAATCTCTGCTAACAGCAAGGGCTGAGACAGCAGATGACTCTTGCTTGCGTCAAACCCTCCACGATTTTAAGCAGCAACTATTTAACTATGCACACAAGCCACAGTCAAACCCTGCTCTTCCTCCCGCTCCTTCGACCTTCCTCCCAGAAACACCTAGCTTAAAAGAAACATTATTTTTTGTACTAAATGTGAGTCACTAACATAAGCAAACTGAACAGACTGAATCAGAAGGGGACTGTCAGTTTCATACACAACACACATTTCCGAGCCTTTGGCACTACTGTATCCAGCACATAAGCCTAGGGAGACTTGGGAGTTGCCATACACTTAAGAGATCTTATTCACTCAATGAGGATGCAACAGCAATCCTTGAGGGGAAAACAAGGAATCGAAAACCCATGAGAGTTAGCTTAATTTGCTTTCGTTTTATTTTGAGCTCCCAGCAGTCAAACCAAGACTAGTTGTAATCACAGTGGCTACAAATTCAGCAATTAATTGTCCATAATTTTTCAGAAGAGAAGGCTAAAATTTTCAGGCTCTTTTCTGCAAGACAAAAAGACTTTGCACAATCCACCCATTAGCAGTATTTCTCAAGCCTATGCAAGGAAAGAGATAAACACAATGAGAAAGAACAGAGATTATTAACAAGAATTCAAAGTTAAACCTAATTTTTACTTGAAAGCAAACAAAATTATTGTGGCAATGCTATACCAGGCAGCCTTGATTTTTTGCAATTCTAAGTTAAGTGGTCCTTTAATTTAAAAAGGCTAAGAAATACTACCATATAAAACAATGCATGAAATAATTGTTTAAGTGCAATGCAACATGATAGTATTAAAGCTGCTGTTGGCTGGAAAGCTGACATTCTCAGTCATGCTAGTAGCAGAACACATGATCACTGGAACATGGGTGTAATTGCTGTTATAATACAGTTCAGAATGGAAAGGTCACATCCCTACTCAAATTAGATTATTCTAGACAGAAAATGGTGTTACTGTAAGCAGGTTTGTGTCCTTAAACTGATAAATTATAAGAAGTTCTGAACTTCACAATAAGTCAAGTGATTCTGACTGGTCTGGTACTGAAGCATGTCCTAAGCAAGACTTTCTGTGCTATCAGTGGCTACTGATTAGGGAAGAAGGAAAGAAGAGTGACAGTGTGTTTTCTTTTACTGACACGACAGCCACCTCTTCACAAGACAGATAATTCAAGGTGTTCTAAAATAATAATTCTTCTTCTGAGATGTCAAAGTGTATGACTGTCAGATATGGGATGAATGTCACCAGTTTACTTCTGATTTGAATGTTCATAACAGAGAAAGAGGAAAGGATGTGACATACAATTTTTGGCAGGGTCAGTGGTTCTGACTGCCTTCAGTCATTGCATATGAAGATTGTGTTTGGGACATTTTGAAACAATTTTACAGAAAAGTGACTTAGCAATATCTGAAAGTACAAATGCAGAAAACTAGATGAGGAGCTTACGACACTGGAGATTCTTCCTTTCCTCTTCTTTGATCTATTTACATGTCTCGAATGGTCTCCAAAAGGCTTCAGCTCAGCATGCACCATCTGGTATGCATGCAGATACCATTTCCAGATGTCAAATTAGAGATAAACTAGTTTTTTACATTGTTTTTTCTTTTTTATTCTAGGCAGTAGCATATCCATATGAAAGACTGTGTAACAGATAATGTGCCCAGACAGAAAACACAGTAAGGCCTAATGAATGCACTACAATATATGAATGTAATACTTCACTTGCCCCACTTCTTCACTATAATTTCCAATTAATTAATCATAATCAGTATATTCTAACACTGCACTCTTTAAACCCCCTGTAATGAATAAGTAGTTTTTCTTGTATATGACAGTTATATATAGCAAATAATGGTCAGATAACAAAAGTCCATGAGGAGAAGAAAGGATGACTGAGGCAGAAGAAAACAAACAGGTGATTTTCTATGTTAATTTTCCAGTTGAGTGAAAAAAAGGGAAACAGTACTTACCAGGCACAATGCTTTTCATCTGCAAAAGGCTTTCCAACCTAATTACTTTCTCACAACTCCTTGTAAAATTATCTGCAACTATTATCTGTTGTACCACAGAAGAAGTCATAGGACAGCAGCTTTCTCCAGAGTGGTCCAGATTTCCAGTTTCCTGCTTGAACCACATTCTATTTCTTTTTTTTGCACCAGACCCCATCACTCAGCTCCCCTGAATGCACCAACTTTGCCTGTTTAACTGTAGCACTGTGATCTTCTAGCCTTGGGAACCCCAGGTTTCCATGTCCCTGGGTACTGCTTTAGGATGCTTGAAACATTCACATTTTTCCCTCTCATCAAACCATGCATCATTTTGTGGATAACAACACATTTTCTCTCTGTTTACAGGAACAAGCAGCACTTGAGTAAAATGAACAGTCAGAGATGTGAGGATAGTGCTGAAGCTTTCCTTCTGTCAGGATGAAAGTTAGTAACACACTTCACGCTCCATGCCAGCCCCACTGGGATCACCCAAGTCCTTGGAAAATGCCACCAGTTTGCAAAAGGCACAGAAGTTGTTTTTCTGTTACAGCAGTGAGACACACAGGTTTTTTTGTGTTTTTTTTTAAGCATTTGTTCCTGAACAACTGTTTTATGCTCCTTTAAGGCACAGCCACAAGGCTGTCTCAGCTGGGAAACACAAATTCCGAAAGCACGCGCCTGCAGTCCGATCCAGCACAGATGAACAACGATACACTTCATGACTTAAGAAGTGGCAGGAACTTTAAACAGATGTATAAATAAGGTGTTGAACAACCAAACATTTTATATATAACTACTGCCTCATGGATAACTGCTTAAAAGAACAAAAGCAAGTGATCTAAATATAAACTGCAATTACCAGCCATAGCCTTCAAAACTGCTCATTGCTGTACTGTGTTGAACCATGAGCACATGGAAACCTACCTGTCCTTTCCTTAACCACTGCCCCTAGCTCCTGTAACCCCCACACTGTCCCTATCCACATTACACATTTTTCATTCTTTCTCAGTAGACCCAGTAACTAGATGACCATAGTTAACATACAGCATTAACCTGTTATTGGGTGACCCTGACACTCTACCTCACATTTTCTCAGTTTATATTCACAACAATTCTAAATTGAACTATCAAGGTGATAGAAACTTTTTATCCACAACCTTGGAAGTGGTAATAAGCAGGTAGGATTGTATGTGACATCCTCTGTTACAGCCTGTGTGATATGATAATGTAGGGAAGTGGAAGCAGGCTTTTAATCTCTTCCTTCCTTAAAATATGTATCATAATGCAAGTCTGATTATGCAGAACACAGTAACTTTACCCCCCTTCATCAAAAGTCTCAGAGAACTTGTGTTGTCGAGTATTTGAAAGACAGAGAAGTCATGCAAAAAATTTTATGAAACTATGCGGTCTTATGCAACCTCTGAAAGCTTATCTGCCATAAAGAATGGGCAAAGCTTTCTAAATTAACTTGTTCAGCTGACACTAGACACTCCCCCTGCCTTGTCTCTTCTCAAAATCAGTCACTGATGTGGCAAACTGTGGAGTGGGAAACAGGAAGACCTATTAAAAAATTACCCTCCCGATACACAGGAGAATGTGTTGGCTAAAGATGCAGCCCTCCATCTGCACTAAGGATAAAACAAGTCACCTCATTATTCAAAGCCAAGCTTGCAGCAGGGGTATTAGCAAAATACAGTGGAATCTAAGGAAGCAATTAGACTTATTAAGCTTCAGTTTCCTTGACACCCATAATCACTTGAAACTGCACTGCAGCAACATGGCTTGTGACGAAATACAGCTTCCAGATAACAAATTCAAGGGAAACATCAAAAAGTGCAATGAATAGTGAACAATATATTTGCTAACAGAAGAAGCACCTGCTAACTGGAGTAGCCCAACTAGTAACTGGTTTTTGCTCAACAAGAGACAATACTTAAAACTAAGTCAATGACAAAAAACTTTAAAAAGATACTCACCAGCAAGTGTATAATCCATATCAAAACCAAAGCACTTTATTTTTTCCATGGCTAAGCTTCTGTTTACAAAGACCCTGCATAGAGAGAAGGAATAAAACCATCTGAATGCACATTTTCAAAATAATAACATTTTAGAACAAACACATTCTGCCAGCTGTCAGGATGTCTGGCTCTCTTAGGTCAAAATCAGAAAACACACCTGAAGACAGAGGCACGTTTCATTTTTTGCCAGGAGTTTTTCTGAAGCAAAGTCATGACTTTGCAGGGTTATCCTAATTATTGGTCTGCTGTCTAAAGACAGACACGCATGCATGCACACACACACACGGCTTTGCATGTGACCTGCAAAAATTCCTAAGAATAGAAGTGCAAAATCTCCTGAAGCAGAATCCAGAGCTCAAGTGAGAGGAAACTGGAAGCAGAAAAAGGGAAGCAATACAATTAAAACAAATTATTACAAAGAGGTAACAAGGAAAGGAAAAGAAAACAACATTCCTGTGATTAAACTCACAGCATTTGAGCCCTCTCTGGAACTGTATCTGGAAACTCAAAGCAAACCTAAACAGATCCACTTCAACACTTATACCAACATTTATAAAAGCTCTGAAAAACAGTGACTGAGATAAATCCACAAGAATATGGTATTTATGTTGTCTAATTTTTCATTTTTATTTATAACTCCCCTACAACTTCTAGACAAAATAGCTATTCTTAAAATTTCACTTTTAATGTTAATGCTTATTGCAATGAGAATCTAAGCTGAATACTTCCAGGCTCTTTTGGATGACAACACTTTAATACACCATATTCAATTTAGCTTAAGTAAATAACATGGTGAAGAAATAGGTCAGAGAATGCAACAAAAGCTTTTCTTGCCTTCTGTTCCAACTACTACAGTATCTAAGCTGCTTAAGTTTCCCCAGAATTTTAAACCATATAGCAGATCTCGAATTCAGCAGGGCTTCTCTCCACTGTCTGTCTCATCTGAACTCAGAACAAGAATCAGAACTCAGCTGCAGAATGGAAGCTGAACTTCACAACACCCCTCTCGGACAGAAATCCCATGTGCTGCTTGAGCTGTGATGCTGAGACAAAATCCTCCTGTATGAGAAAAGTCCCTGAGCTTTCACCCATACTCTGATTTCAATATGTGAAAAGTCTCCAAAGACTTAAAGAGTGCATTGCCCTCAGCAGAGTAATTATCCTCTTAAAAACTGAAACCAGCAGCACTGCCATGTAGGAGGAGTGGCACAGGGACAGCAACACAGCAATGGAGACGGCAAGTGCAAAACCACTTGTACGTTCTGAAAAGCTGAAAGAAACCACTGGGACATTCTCCACACAGGTTCTGGGCAGGTGGCTGACATAATGTGCCCATTTAACTGCCCGTAACAACTTGTCACAGCTTGGATTTTAACAGCAAACTGCTAACATCAAACTATCACACTTCTATGCAAGTCGTCTTACCTCATCTCTCACCGATGTGCTCCTTGCTTAGTTCGCAGCAGCCTGATTCATCTACTTGTCTGAATCATATTACACAATTCCTTTAAAGCTTCCCTAGTGCCGATGCAATTTTGCTTGGATCTGATTTGACTTCAGAAGATCATTATGTCTGAACCAAGCCTTAAAATACTGTATATCTTCTTGGACAGTGCTCTAGAAAACACATCTGTGGCTAATTTAACCAGTCACTGGATATCGTTGTTGTTCCACACAAATCCACTTGGAATACAGTTTCTCTGGCAATAGTATACTTTCCCCCTAACCTTGCACACTCTCTCTGGGAGTCACAGTTTCCTGGCAAAGTGCCTGCCTTTGACAATGGGGCTTGTCGCTAAGGGGCCTCGGAGGTTAAAGATGACGCTCTTTTCTGATAGATTTATGTATTACCTAAACAAGACAAAGTGATGGGGAAAAGACTGAAATTTGGTGAAGAAATGCCTTTTGGAAATCAAAGACGGGATTGTAAATTGCTAAAACTCATGCCTGAAATAGCTGGCTTTTGAGTAGGTGGAACAAATTATCCAAATCTGCAGTTTGAACCCATGTTTGTCTTTTACCATTGAGATAGCCCTGATTTACAAGAGGCCAACATGAAATGCTGTTTGGTACTAAACACAGTCTCATACTTTATATAATGAAGATTATAGCTTTCTGTCACTACTGATGCCAGGAAGCATTATTTATTCAAGCACACGATTTCTGATCTCATGTTTGTGCAAGTTGTTCCTGAAAGTGGAGAGCTTTAAGAAGTAATAACACACGTCTTGGAGACACTAGCAACATTTTTTTGTCCAAACTGCAGAGTCCAATTAATTTTGCTCTTGTCTTTAGGCTTGGCCCCTGGAGCACAGTTTTCCATCCTTCTGAAAAGGACAGGAATAGGAAGGGAAATTTACAGAAGCTCAGGAGAGTGTTTCAGAACTGCAACACTTGGGAACAGTTTCCCAAATGAGGACAAAAACAAGCACTAAAATGGAACTGAATGCGCCTATAAAAAGGGTAATACGACAGTGCCTGTGAAAGGCAAAAACAAGGGAGCTGTGACCCAAGAGATCTCTTCCAGTCCAGCCTGCCAATGTTTAGATGATGACGACACCAAACTGACCAAAAACGGTGGAAAGATCTCTAAGCCTCTGATATTTACTCATCACTTGCTCCCAGAGTATTTACAAACTGAACCCTGGAACTTCAAACAAACAAACAAACAAACAGTATAGGTTGATACTGAAGATCTGGAAAAGTTTACTAAAGGCAATGAAACAAACAAAATCAATTAAGCATATTTTTGTTCTGAAATAAGTCTTACAACTAAAACATTTAAATTACTATACCAGCCCCCTCTTGGTAACAGCTGGTGAAGATCCCTCTTTCTCCATCAACACGTAAATATTGCCTATGACCTAGAAAACAAGCATGACAGGCTCTAACTATGCCTCAACCATGTGCAGGATGTGGCAGATTTCAAAGCATCCTACCAACCGATCTGATGTGGTAATTACTTCACCCACCAATGCTGGAGTGAAACACAGCAAATATTTTTAAAAAAAAAAGCTAAAGATGGCTATTACACAATGTGTTCAGGAGAGGAAATGGGAACATTTTAACCATTTTAAACTTGGTTATGCCTTGGCAGATGAAACGGCAGACTAAACTGAGGCCAAAAAATCTGGAACCAATTTCACTTCTCTTGTGAAGGCCCAGCCAGGTACCAGGTTATTTTGTAGGCACTCTGGACCTCAACTTTATATCCTGATGAAGGAACACATCTCCCATACATGTTGCCTCTCTAGACACAAGGGTCTAAGTAGATACTTACAAGTATTTACTCCCAGAAGCTGACCAGCTTAATTCAGGGGGTTTACTCAAAGTAGTAAATATCTGCAGTACCCTAGAAACTAAAGATAAAAGTTGAGTTTAAATTGCCATAATAATCTCTAGGAAGAGCCAGATGCTTCTCAGATTCTGCAGATTTAGCCTATTTCAAAGCTCTGCTTAGATCCTAATTGAAGGTACACTCAGGCCTGATTTCAAGAATCCCAGTCAAATGTGTTTCTTGGCTACAAAAATGTAATGTCTCCACAGAAGACATATAGTATATGCCTTCTCTATACATATGGTATAGAGAAATGACAAGAGCTGACTTTAAAGACTATCAAGAAAACCAACTCTAAGAACCCAAACCACCTGAGAGAAAAGATCCTGTGGTTTCTAAAGGAAAGGAAGAGATGCCAAGTTTTTAACAGCTCATCTAGATAAACAAAAATCCAGGAGCTTCCACATTACAAACAACTGAGATAAAGTCAAAAAGAGAGGAAAACTAAAATCACTCAACATTTTTAGGCAAGGAAGTTTTAATCTAGAATAGTTTTTCCACTTGCCAGGATCAGAAGAAATCACACTTTCCCTTCACCTGATTTTGGTTTTTTCCATTCAGAAAATAATCCTTTTAACTAGGAACAGTAGAGTTAAAAATTAAGCTGATCTAAAAATTTAACAGTGCTGGCAGTAAGACAAATCAAACTGCAGGCACAGCATGAAGACACTCTCTCCATTCCTCATGCTGAGAGGCAAAGGCAGGTATTGCCTAAATCCAACTACCCACCCCACAACCTGTTTGCAACCAGAGCATCTCCTTAAACAGGACCTTGTCTTTCTCTAGCCTTCATCTTTCTTTCCTCATGAAAAAATAAGCATTATATTTCTGCTTTGAGGAATATCCCAGTGGAACTCACACTGTTTTGCACTCCCTGTGCAGTGTGGCTGGAGCAGTGCAAGGTGTTGATGCTTGACACCATATCCAGCCCCATGGGCTTCCTGAGCCAGCACATGGCACAGCTGGGAGTGGGGAGGCAGCAGTCTGGACTTTGGGTTGCTTAGCCTGGCACAGATCCACACATTTACAAAAATGGACTTGAGGAGCTGTTTATGGGAAACCACAAAGCACATTCCTCCCTAATGAGTTCTTTCTCAAAGACTAAACCCTGCAGCTTGGCCACAGTAGAAGGCTCTCAGTGATTACAGCATTTATTTTCTTTTTGAGCTCTACGAATTGGGCAGGGTTAAGAGGAAGATATGTTGCATTGCAAGGAAGAAGGAACTGCTGAGCATGCATAAAGGGAATCACAGAGCCCTGATATCCTCAACACTGCAATTCACAGTCCTTTTTATTTTTACAACTTAACTGATCTCGGTTTTGTTAACTGTTCTTGTCAATCAATTCCAAGGCAGGAACCTAAATCCCAACTATTCTCGAGTAGCACAGGAGAAGAGCGAATGCAGAGAGGGAAAAATATTTTTATTTGTGCAAAATCCCAGAAACATTCTGTGCCCTAGATGAAACTTGCATGTATAGTATTCTTGCAATATGACTGATAAAATAAACAAAATGCACAGAATTATGCAACTAAGAAGAAACCTGGCACTTGACTTACAACTCGTCAGAGCAAGAGAATGAAAATGAACAACGTGAAGTTTCTGGAACAGAGCTATTTCATAATGATTTTTCCAAATTTGTCTAGAAATACCTTACAGCAAGAAGCACTATTTGTCAGGAGAGTATGTTTCACAG